GGCCCCGCCCCCTCCCGCAGACCGGGCGGCCCCAGCGGCGGACTCAGGCTTCGACCCGGGCCGCGGTTCCTGTCAGTTCGTACCTACCAGCCGCAGCCCGCGACCCGGAGTGAGTTCAGGGTCCGAAGTTCAGTTTCATCAGCTAAGGGGCCAGGGTGGGGGGCACCGCTTTCTTCTGGACGACGCGAGATAATTGGACGTCTTTACTGCCCCGGCACCTTCGCCCGCCCTTTCCACTGCCGACGATCACCGGCGGAGGCGGAAATACACTTTAGGGTGCTGTTGGGTGTGGTAGTAAAGGTGGGTGTGGGATGTGATCAGTTACCGGTTTCCAAATATTTGGGTATGCGCAGTGAAAAATGCTTTTCCAGTACTGACAACGTATCAGGAAAGTGCGGAAGCCTACCTTCAGAGTATTTGGGGAACCATTATGTTGAAAATAGGTAATTACAAAATGTAAGGACACATTTAACTCGGCCCTTTTCAATATTTATCACACTTTGCATGTTAATAGAAGGGGGAAAAACATAAATTAACCATCAGTAAGTCATTTTTAATCATACGTTAGAATTTGTTTTGTTTTGTTTTGTTACCGGGGATCAAACTCAGGATTTTGAGCTTGCAAAGCAGGCATGACGCCACTGAGCTAAATCCCCAGCCCATAGAATTCTTTGCTGTTCCACACTGGTTCCTTCCAAATCCTCAGACCCCATGTTGCTGTGCGTAGTGTAACTCACTTCAGTTGATTTGACGAATAATTATTTTAAAAAGTACAAAACTGAAAAGTTAAAGTCTAACGAATTATTTGATTAGCTGCAGCAAGCTAGAGAAAAGGTCTGACAATTTGGTGATGAGCAATATTGATAAGAATAGACTGAACTAGGACTTTGGCTCAAGATTGAACTTACTCAGGCAACGTGAATGCAGCCTGGTTCGTAGTTAGCTCCTGAGTTCCACAAGAACTTGAAATGCAAAATAACGTTTTTCTTTAAAACCAGTTTCCTGTTTAAACTCTTCATATTGAGTAAGTGGGTGAGAGCCTGAGTTCCAACTGGTCATTGTAAATCCATAGTCACCTGTGATAGGTGGCCACTCACTAGGGATCCTTCCTGGAAATTCAGGAGACATTATTATTTCCAATAAAAACTCTTAATTTCCTCCTTTTGGTTAGTGTTGTGAGACAGTAAGCTTTGTTCATAAGGTCAAAAGCACACAATATGTCTAAGAAAAATGTGGCAATACAGTGCTTGTTAAAATTGACTTAGTGCTAAAAAACTCTTGAAATAAACATTTTTAGATAATTGATCTCCGTAAGTTTTCATTATGGTAATAGAAAATATTTTAGCTGTGAATTGTTTTATTTCGACCTGAGATCCTTAATTCTTGCAGTACACAATCACTAATAACAAAATCAATGAGTAAAACTGAGCCACAGGAGTTTAATGTTACAATTATCAATAGCTGGGCCATAGAAATTATTAACATTACTAAAAATAGTATGAAAATTAGTTTCTTAAAATTTGGTTGTTACTAACTAGGAAATATTTTAAAAAATATATAAAATGATCTCCAGATGAGCTATCACATTTTTTTATAGAGAGGGGGAGTGTAGGGTGAGGTAGTGATTGAAAATGATAAAAAAAAAAAGAAAATGATAAAAAAATGACATATGTATCAACTTCCAAAAATGAATATAACTATTATGTATTGGAAACATACACTAATTAAAAAAAAAATGCACCAGGCACACATCTGCAATCCTAGCACTTAGTAAGGAGGCAGGAGGATTGACATGAGTTTGAAGCCTGGGCTACATGGCAAGACCCTGTCTCAACAAAAGCAGGAGGTCACAATTACTTTTATCCTTTAGGTACAGGTATATTTATCAAACTCTGAAATGTAAGTTTCTAGAAGGCTTGAAATGTACTCTTTAATGCCATTTAAAGAGTTCCATGCAATCTGAGTTTTAAACTATATACATCACACCTAATTAAATTAGTAAGTGTACCAGTCTGACCTTCCAATTTGGATTTTTAATGAGTAAACTCTATTCAGAATTTGTTTTTTAAAAAATATGGATATTGGCATTTATTCCACCACTTCTCTGCATTTATTTTTTATTAAAAACATACTTGTTAACTAATAAATACAATATGGATATTTTCTTAGTATTAAAATAAGCTTTATTTAAAAGCATTAAAAACATTCCTTTAAGGAAAAAAAAATAACCTTATTGCCTCTACACCCCCACCCCAGTCCATACCAAGATCCAGAGCAGAGTTTGTTAATGTTTGGACCTAGGATGACCAGGAGGATGTTTGAACCACTTGGGCTTTTTCAGAAAAGTTTAATTTTTTGGTAGTGATGGGGATAGAACCCAGGACCTTCTTCATGCTAGGCAAGGGTTCTATCACTGATCTACACCCCTAGTTCTTGACTCCTCTTTAAAACTGTAACTTTCTGTGTCCACGTGATTCACTGAATCAGAATCTGAGGATGCAGTCCCGGACTTAAATTTCAAAAAATGCTCCCAGGGATTATTTTTATATTAAATGTTGAGAGCCACTGATTTAAAGTAAATACTAAGATGTGATCTTGTATGATTTCATTGTAGTATAAGATAAAATATATATATTAAAATAATATAGAAAGTCCAGTCAAATACCATAATGGTCTGTAAGGTAATCTAAAACTGCTGATGTGCTTGACAGTGCATTAAATATTCTTTTTTCCTGCCTTGAAGTTATTTTTTCCATCATGTACATTAAATGTTGATGGAAACACATAAAAGGAGTTCCAAGTTCAAGAGCAATGTCAACCCAGTCCCAGATGCATTTGAGTGGTGTTTCCTCATATCCAGCAAACATGGCTGGGTTTGCCAAGAGTCCTCTTGCAACCATCACACCTATAAATTAAAGCACAGTATATTCATTCACATATTAAAAATCCATGGTCATTAATTCAAAAGCAATTAAATTAATATTAAAGTTTTATTACAAGGTTTCACAATGTCCTTATTACATTATTGATATTTAAATCAATAAAAAATTTACTTCAGTACCTTTTTAAAATCAAGTTAGGACATCTACACTAAACAATTAGTCTTTAGCTTTTCATTACGGTAAATCCAGACTCATAAATTGGGCTGCTTATTATACTGTTTATATGCATTTTCCCATCTAGCTGTAGTTATCATCTGGCTTGATTCACATGCAAGTAATTTCAGGGGAACAATGAGTGTAGCAGTTTTAGGTTCTTTTGGACAATGAACTTTTCATTAACCCGTTCTATTCTAGGTGCTTTAATTTTACTAATAGGTTGTCTAGAAGATTCCTAACTGGGCACTAGATACGACGGTAGTAGAAAAATAACTGATTTACCCCAGTTAATAATCTATTCTTTCCAAGTAAAAAAGGTAGCAGCATTTTAATATATTGCTTCGCTTAAATAATTCTGCTAGGAAAATATTTCTCAGTGTTAAAGAGAAATAATGAAAATCAAATTAACATTACTCCCCCACTATTTTTTTACTTTCAAATTAAAAGATTTTAAAAAAATCCAAGTACTTATTGCTTACCATCTGTCCTAGTAATTTGCCACATACTTTCTGCTTCTTTTAAGCTTCTGATGTCTCCATTAGCAATCACAGGTATAGACATACTTTCCTTTATTATTTTAATGGCATCATAGTGGACTGGCTGATGTCTTTCTTCAACAGTTCTTCCATGGACTGTAATCCAGTTAACTCCTGTTGCTTCAGCCTTTCGACAAAAGTCTACAGTTCTTCTAAGGTCATCATGGATCCTGTTATTTCAAAATTACATGCTATCTGTTCACAGCACACACATCTTAATGCTAAAATTTTAATTAACTAAAATGGTATTTCATTTTCTACATTACTTAGCTTTGCTGTATCACATTTTATTTCATAGCGTAAGGTTTTGTTTAGGGATCAGTTCCCACCAAAGATCTCATAGTTATTTCTCTTTTGGCAACAATAGGAGGAAAAGTAAGTTTTGTGTTATCTAGAGCATCTCCCTTTGGACTGATAAATGAAAAAATGTTATCAAAATACTGCCCCAGATAAACTGACAGATGCTATTTTAATAGCTGATATGTATGTCCTAGCCCCTAAGGAGACTATACCCCAAAATTGATTTTGTTTTATTGTTAAATTTTAGTGCAATTGTATTTCCTATTTTCTTCCTTCCTTCTTTCCTTCACCGGGGATTGAATCCAGGGCCTTTACATTGAGCTACTTTCCCAGGCCATTTTAAATTGTTACCTTTATTAAGATAGGATCTTGCTAGCCTGCCCAGACTGGGCTTGAACTTGTGATCCTTCTGACTCAGCCTCCCAGACTGCTAGGATTACCGGTGTGCACCACCTTGCCTAGCTATCTTTTGCCTGTATTTGCTTGTCTTTCCTATTTTCTACTATTGGTACCAGGAATGTAATTAAACAGCACTTGAAAAAGTTGAGAATTTGGTGAGATCTTTAAATAAACAGATATTTTAATTTTATTAAAAAATAAAAAGAGGATGGCTCAGGATTTAGCTCAGTGGTTCTGGTGCCTGCCTTGCAAGCACAAGGACATGAGTTTCATCCCTGGTACCCCACCCCCCCAAAAAAGGAGGAGGGCCAGTGATTTAGCTCAGTGGCACTGCACCTGCCTTGTAAGTACAAGGTCCTGAGTTTTATTCCCAGTAAAAAACAAAACAAAACACCATAAAAGAGGAAGTTATTTAGGATTATAAATAAAAATTAGACTATATACTTGTTTATTAAATATCTTGTTTCATCATTTCCATATATCAGCTACTCGTTTATTTAGGACAGACACTCCCACATCACTACACAAGAGATCTACTTTTATTTCGTAAGAAATAAATTATAAATTCATTACATTCATAGGTTAATGTCACTAATAGATTACAGATGAAGAGATTAAATGTTACCTTTACCTTATCTTAATAGAAACTGAAAATCTGGGGTTTTCCACTTGATTTCTTACTTGTTTCACCATATCTTGAACAAGCTCTGGCTTATTTATTAAGCAAGCTCCATAACCTTCTGCCATTGCCCACCTTTATAAAGCAGATGCAGTAACAGATGAATTATAAACAGCAGATAAAGAGAAGATAAAATTCTAAAAGCATTGAAATGTAAATGCACCTATGTATTTATCTAGTGATCTGGAATGATGCAGATTTTTAAAATTCATAGGTCAACACTTCTAAGTGGACCAATGTGATTAGGAAAACATATTCCCAGATCAAAAAATACTCAGTTTCCACTGGCAGGTGAGAATATTAAATTAGAATTCATTCAACCAAAACAAATTTAAGTAATTAACAGCAATTATTTCAGATTTTTAAAATTCCAAATTTGATGTTTATGTGTGTAACAAGAGGTTTTATATATGTCTTAATAGAATGATATTTTTGGTTTACAGCATTGCAATCAAGACTATTAGCTTATTTAACTGTCTTAATAAGTACACAAATATGTGTAATCTGATGTAGATTATGTGTACTTAAAAACTTGATTTTATTCTTTGGACATGTTTTGAATTGACAAATAACCTAGAATATAGTAGGGATATTATTGTCAAATCAAGTCCATCCTTCCAAACCCAGTCATGTAAACCCAACCAAATACCATAACTACAGGATAGAATAAAAAGGTGATTATAAGGCTCTTGTGAGGTAAATTAATTATGAAAAAACACATGGCATCTCCCAAATCACAGAATCAGTTTTTAGAGCCAAAAAAAAAAAGTAATAGTAAAAATACATTTTAAGGATTGTCATAAACATTAGATTCTCATATAATTATTTATAGATAAGGCTGAAGGCAGATCCATGCAAAAAATGCTAGTGTTGAAGGACACAAAACACTTGTCAAGGGTCTATATACCACTTCAGCCGTCAGAAAAACCTCTGAAGTTATATTCCTTTTTCTTTTTTTGAAATAGAATCTCATTATTTCATCTTGAACTTGAGATCCTTTTGCCTCAGTGTTTGAGTGATGGGATTCCAGGTATGAGATACCATACTTGGTATGAAATTATATTACAAAATAATCTATCTTTGTAGTTTTCTTTCTCCTTTTTTGTTTAGAGCCTTGATGCTTTAATTTTGTTTTTTCTTTTTAATTTTTGGAAAACCAGAAGGGTATTTTACCAAGTTCACATAGTTTTTTCCTAATCCTTTAAAAATCACTTCCAACTTCTTTGAGCTTTACCTCTGAGGGCAACCACAGTTAATGTCTATTCCATTCGCATAAGGACACACTATACGAGCAGCATCAGATAAAAGTCTTGCGTCATTAGCAGCAAACTGAACAATCAATGGGCAATCACCTGATAAAACCAATAGCTCAACATTAAAATACACAGAATACACCCCTACACAGATACTGCACTCTAACATTTGTAAACAAAATACTAATAAATACTTTTGGCCTAAGTAGCATCTGTTCAAATGAGATAACATTACAACATTAAAAATATCTTTAAAGTATTTACACTAAAAACCCAAACAGTACAAAATTTGATAATATCAAAAGTGTTCCTAGACTCTTGACAAGCAGACCCCCATCCTGAAGATTTCTGGTCATTACCTCTTCCACTTCTCTTGCATACTGATTTATTGCTTTTATGGCCATCCATCAATTTTCAGAATTATGATGGTACAGAAAAATTTGCTTTTATTTTCTTGGGGGTGGAGGATGCTTTTCCCTTTTGTACTTCAAACTACAGATTTTCAGTTTAACAACCATCTATTTTCAACACAGTGTTAGATGCTGAGGACACAAATCAAGATTTTTTTTTTATAGCTCTGGTCCTCAGAACCCATAAGCCAGTGGGAGAGATAGGCACAGAATGAGGAAATTATAATGCACCAGGATTGCATGCAACAAGGGATTCTTCTTAGGAGGGAGGGTATAAATGAAGAGTGGTCAGGAAAGCTTCCCTGGCTACAAACTGAGAGCTTAGTTAAGAATCATAAACTAGGGCCAGGGATTTGGCTCAGTGGTCTTGCCACCTGCCTCGCAAGCGCAGGGACCCGAGTTCGATCCCTGGTACCAATAAAAAAAAAAAAAAAAAAAAAATCATAAACTATAATCTGCCAGAGAGAGACTATCTGGGACAAAGACATGACTGGGAAGACCATTCTAATTTGAAAGTGTGAGAGAACAGGACATGTTCAGATACTTAAAAGTAAATTTAGAAGAAAAAATAGGTGGGCTGTAGGAAGCAACTAATGGAAGGCTGCAGGAGAGGTAGTGAGAGGGTACTGCTGTAACTGTAGTCTTTAAGTTCTCAACCTTTAGCAAGCTCAGAATTACTTGGATGGCTTTTCAAAACCATACACCTACAGTTTCTGATTCAGGTGGTCTAGGGGAGAGCTGGAAAATTTTCATTTCTGGTTAAGTGTCTGGATAATACTAATCCCTCTAGTCTAGGGCTAACAATGACAACCATTGTTGTAGACAATGAGAGGTACAAGGAGGACAGTAAAAAGGGAAGAGACACGATCATATTTAAATTAAAATGGGCCAGGGATTTAGCTCAGTGGCATTGCAAACGTCTCACAAATTCAAGGTCCAGAGTTCAATCCCTGGTTACAGCTAAAAATAAAATATGTCTAATGACAAGTCTCATGGGGTGTTTGGAGGGTGATTTGGAATGGGACAAGATTATAGGTAATGAGACAGAAATTTATTTTACATAATACTCCACGAGCAAAGGTAGTAGGCCTTAAGAAAGGCTGACATTATACTTGTATAGATCACTGTTTATAATGTGTTTATAAGGTACCTAGTATGATTTTTTTTTTCTTTTTTTTTGGTACCGGGGATTGAACTTGGGTCCTTGCGCTTGCAAGGCAGGCCACCGAACTGCTGAGCTAAATCCCTGGCCCAAGTATGCTATTTAAATACTAAAGACATTTTAAGGACAGGACTATAAAATCTTTGAATTATGTTGTCTCTGATTAGATAGAATGGCTGAGTTTGTACAAAAAGAATTTGTTCTTAAGTTTTACAAAGTCAGCAAACTGTGGTTTCACATACCTTGGTTGACGGTAAATTCACTGTCTCTGGCTTTTACAGATCTGACAAAATCAGCAGCAACTATCATTGGTGTGTAACACAGATCACAACAGTATCTTCTCACTAGTGTTCTAAAGGCCAACCTGTGAACATATAAACTATGTATTCAGAAGATACCATATGTATTTATAAGTTTAGTTAATTATTAAATATTTCTGAAGAGAGGACAGCAGAGCTGACCTGCCTGAGCAGCCCTCCTTGGGAACCTTTCTGAAGCTAAAGTTCTTTTCCAATGCAAGGACAGAGCAGGCAGCAGAAATCATGAAGTCCCACTCAGCCACTTCCCACAGAGGATTTGTTTCCTGGCAGGTGCTCCTGTGGACAGCCTCACTTTTAACCTCCTGGAGCCCACCCACCACGGCCCAAATGAGTATTGAAGCATTTCCTTTTGATACTGCTATAGGGGAAGATGTTCTTCTAGTTATCAAGAATAGGACAAGAAACGCTAGAGCCTATACCTGGTACAGAGGGGAATGGGTTACTCCTGTCAGAAAAATTGGAGCATTTACATTAGCCACTGACAGCTCTGCGTATGGGCAGGCATACACCCGAGAGACGATATATGGCGATGGAACCATGCTGTTGCAGAACCTTACTACAGCAGACATAGGAATCTATACTGTGCAAATCATATTGCAAAATTTTCTGAGTGTTTTGATATCTGGAGGAGTTTCATTTACACCCGCCAGTGTTAGCACCCTCTCTCCAGATCCCCCTAACCGAACTCCCAGAAAATGATACTGCAGTCCTGACCTGCTCCTCAGAAGAGCATGTACTCTCCATTGAGTGGTACTTCAACAACCAGACTCTGGAGCTCACAGAGAGGAAGACTCTGTCTGTGGACAACTTCACCCTCACCATAGAACCATTCAAGACAGATGTTGGGGAGTATATGTGTCAGGTCTCTAAAATTGGCAGTTTCAAGAAAAGTAACCTCATCAGTCTATCTGTGAAATATATACCACCACCACCACCACCACCAACTCCTCGCCCCCCCCCCCAAATCTAATGGCATTATGGTTCCAATTGTGGCTGGGGTAGCTCTGCTAAATGCTCTTTTGTGTTTCTTGTGTTTCAGGAAGATGTGTGGGTCTAGGAGCCGCAGACGACACCCCTAATAAGGTGGATGAAATTGCACATTTTTCCCAGAACTTGTGTCCTACAATCAAAGCAATCAATTTCAGATGTCCCATCCCCAGAATAAATTTATTCAAAAGTAAAAAAGTAATGCAACCTGTCGTGTCATAGCAGTGCTGACATACTCTACATCTCTCACCGGCCTCAAGATTTTATTACACTCAGAAAGAGGAAAAAAGCACCCCCCCCATCCTCCCTAATACAGCACCTCTAGGCTGCAGCACCTCCTCCAATGCCAATAAATGAAAAGGTACATCTGGGAGTCTGTAGGAAACCCAACCCTTCTTGTCATTGAAAATTGGCAAAGTCAATTTTGGAAGAGAGTTGCCAGAACTTCCCTGACCCTCCCCTTATTCCCAGCCTAGATTTGTTTTTAAGTTATTTATTCAGAGCATACTCATTTCTTCCCATCCCAGGCCTGTCCTATCAGAGTGTAACGTGAATTTGCCATAACCTTGAGGGTTATTTCCTTTTCCACCTAAGAGCATGTGTCAGGAAAAAAAAAAAGTTAAATCAATAATGTCTTTTACTTTCTCTCCAAACCCTGAAATCCACCATAGCCAAGGAAATCAAATATGTAACCAATACTGCATTGGGAAATTCTATACTTTGCTCCACTGTCAGATCAGGGTCTAAACATCTTGCCGCTTAGCTAAAGTACCACCTAACTCCTCTGCCAAGCCCATCTCCAGAGAATCCACCAAAACAACTAGGGAAATGATTTGGTCCACGGGCAATTCCCAATGGAAAATGCAAAAGTGCACATATATCTTTAATACCTGTGTGGCCTTTACTCAAGGGAGTGTCTGGAAAAAAAGACTACAACTTTATAAGGGAATTCAACTTTAAATAGATGCAATCTGCTGGGAACTTGGGAAAAGAACAGAGTTAACCATCAGTTATTTTAAATTATTAAAAAACGCACAACTGAAGGCACATGGTTTTTCCCCTTTTCTGAGACATTCTACTATTTTAGTATTTGTGACTGCTTACTTCTGTGAAAAGGGCTATTCTTATTTAGCTGTAAAAGTAAGTTGATCTGACTTATCTTGGGACAGGAAGGTACCAAAATCCCTCAAACCTCCTTGGCCAAGAGCCTCTCAAGGCATTTTTATAAAAGGCTTTAAATAAAAAAAGAGGCTTTCCTCATTTGTGCAAGAAACGAGCTTGGCTCAGCTTCTAGCTGTGTCAGACCAGTCACTAGCTGCCCTTCTGTTCCATGTTTGTGCCTGTGCATTTTCTACCTGTCTGCCCCAGTGTCTCAGGAAACCTTGGTCTCTGCAAGGGTTTGATGCTTGCAAAGTGGGAGTGCCTTAACAGGTTCCTTGCTGATGGCTCTGTTTATGGCTTTGCAAGTTGCACTGGTATTGATGCTCCTTGGGAATGAGGGTAGCAAAAGGGTGTGAGGACATGAGGATTACCCTATCCTGGATTTTCGGATCAGCCTCTGAAACTTACCTTTTCTCCCATGGGATCTGTGAGTCCCAGTGTGACTTAGAATGAAAAAGGACAAGAGAAGGAAAGGCAAATGTTCTTGCGTAGCCTTTTGCTATACAGGTGAAATATCTTTGGGGCTGTAAAGGGATTTTGATATTCACTGATCACAATGCTATTTCTAACAGGCCTCCTCTAAGAGAATTCACTGGGAGTTCTCCTACTAAGACAGCTCTTCCAGTGATCTCCAGCGCTGATACAGACTGTATGTATTTTCACTCATCCATGCTATGCTGCTGGGTTATTTAAATTTGCCTGGCTAAAGCTACTTCTGATTGTTTATAAAATGTGTGCTATTTAATAAAAAGTGTTTATCAGACACCAAAAAAAATTTACTAGTGAGCTCTGCTTATGGAAAGATGGAGTAGATGAACTTTTTCCTGTTCTTACTAAGTATAATAAAAAAGTGGGCATCATATATCAAAAAATAGGAAAAAACTGAAAGGCGAAGAGAAGATGGTAGACAGGCTAGTGACATTGTATCCAGAGAAATTATAGGGTGGTCATTTCCCTGTTTTTTCTGTTTTCCCCTTTTAAATATCCCAGGGTTGGGGGTTGAAGAAGCTGGACACCTGGAATTATCAGTGGGTAGAGAAAAAAATCAGCCCCATAGAAGTCTTCTTGCTAATCAAAACAGAAATGGAGAGTTTTAGAGAATATATATATATATATATCCCTTACAGGTACCAGTTATTTCAAAACAACTTTTTTAGTCCGCTCCTAAATTAAAGTAACTAGCAAAGCATTATTATACTACTGGTCGAAGAACCACTGTAACCTTCATTTTCCTTTTCACTCTTATGGCCTTTCCACATTTCTAACCCCACCTTGATCTGCTACAATACCCTACAATGACAGAAAGCAGGTAGGTAGGTATGCGTACATACTTATTGCACACTTGCACATCAGATCAGTGTCATAGTTCAATGTGTTCTATGTGTTAAGCCTACAGCTCAGAGGACTGCATTTTTGTTTGTTTTTTGGCCTATCCTTAGTAACCACAGTGTTTTCTTAGGGAAATGAAAGGACAAAGATCTTTTTCTGTTGGCTTCAGGTTGTATCTGTGCACTAAATCTTTATTCTAAAAAAAATAAATTGAGGGGCAACCCACTTTCTGGTGCCCTTTCTGTCTTTCTTAGACAGAGGCTATCTTTCTTTCAATAAATTCTTCCTACTCTTAACAACAACCAAATCAAAACTTTAATTTTTTAAAAATGAGAATCTCATTACATTAAAATCTTAAAGATATAAATAATTTAAAAAATTATCAACACTATTGAACTATACACTTAAAAATGATTAAGAGGTAAATATTATGGTTCAAGTATTTTCTAACAAAGTTAAAAATCCTTAATTGCAAAAAAGCAACCTAATTAGAATATGGGCACAAAAAGGGGAAGAAACATTCTTTGAAAACATACAGATGATAAGTAAACATATGCAAAGATATACAACATCATTAGGCATATAAGAAATGCAAAGTGGGGCCGGGATTTTAGCTCAATGGCACTGCACCTGCCTTGCAAGCACAAGGTCCTGAGTTCAATCCCAGGGTCTAAAAAAAAAAAAAAGATATGCACAGTAAAACCACAATGTGTAGTTTTAAAACTACATAGCTATTAAAGTGGTTAAAACAAAAACAGTGCCAGTATCAAAAGTTGGTGGAGGAGAAACTGGATCCCTTATATGGTATTAGATGGAAATATAAAACGGTACTACCACTCTAGAAGTCTGATGGTTTTTTTTGTGACCTAGCAGATGCATGCCTCTGTATTTGTCCAAGATGTGTATTTACACCAAAACTTGTACATTAATATTTTAATGTCTAATATCCACTATATCCATATATGTGGGAGTTACAACCACTACCATCGGAGGAATTCTGTACTGAGGCCGCACACATATATACCAGGCAAGTGGCAATACTAGGACTGAATTCTAGGACATGATTCCAAAGCCAAGAGTTTGAGAATCTCATACAGTAAGTTGTTTTATAGTACTTTATTTTTTAAAAATCTACTGTAGATTTTATATTAATACTAGAGATTAAATATTCATTACCAAAAATGAGAATGTTATAGCTACTAAGGTAATAAGCTGTGAAATTAATTCCCTAGTGTTGCTTTGAAAATAAACTCCTAGGTTAAGAGAAATTCCAACTCCATACAAATGTATTATTTAACAGGGATTTGCAGTCATCATCTAAAGTTGGTTTTATTGTCACTCTTGTTCATTCTGATTCCAACCAATTAAATGCCAGAGTTTTTCAACTGTTTGGCAAAGGGTAACTTTTTTCTCCTACTCTCTGCACATAGGATTAGTCAAAACAATGTTGTCCAAATCAGCCTGATAGCACTAACTCTCCCTCTTGTTGATGAAGCTCCTCTGTTGACCATAACATCTTAAATTTTTTTTTTTTTTTTTGTTACTGGGGGTCGAATTCAGGACTTTGCGCTTGCAAGGCAGGCATGGTGCCACTGAGCTAAATCCCTGACCCTGAAGCTCTTCAATTTTAGACAGCTTTTGGACCACTGCCACTTTGTTGTCTCCTTCAGTACGTAAACCTAGAAACTGAGTAGAAAATAGGAAATTTCCGGTACCATGAAATGTTCAGGTAAAGTTCCAACTGCACCAAGTATCTGCTTTATCATTCTGTTGGAATGGTACAAAGTGGAGTTGATTTTTGTTTCAACTCCAGTAAGACTCCCTGGAACACCATACTGAAGATCATTATGTTCCACAAAAAGTAATACGATTTTACAAAAGATTGGTTTACATATGAGTTTTCCTTCACTACCTTTGGAAACAATACAAAGTTGGACTTCTATTTCCTGGCCCATCTTTAATACCTCTCTTAGAATAACACCACCAGCTACAACTTTTAAGATCATCAACTTCACAACCAGGTTTGATGACCTAATAAGTCAAGGTTCTGAAGTAAAGTCTCTAGGAAGTAGTACTAGTATTTTTACTACGTCCTCATAGTCAACTGCAATACTGTCTTTCAGCTGGGCAGAAATTGGAATAACGGGGAGGTCCTTCTGCGATTGCACCTTGTACAAGATCTGTCCATACTCTCCTTTATCCTCTTTTATCAAATCAATTTTATTTTGAAAGATCAAAATATGCTTCAGTTTCATGATTTCTACTGCAGCCAGGTACATATTCAAAAGTCTGAGGCTGAAGGTAAGATTCAGTACTAGCTATCAACAGGATAGCTGTATCCATTATTGCTGCACCATATTTAGCATAGCAGTCATCAAAATAACCATGGCCAGAACAGTCAACAAAGGAAACGTGTCTGGCTAATTTGAAGTTCCCTTCAGTCCCTGGAATGTCGGTAGGAAACACATCAGGGATATCACTTAGCCTTGTATACTGCTAACTTCATGTGAAAGTGGCATCAAAGTGGTAAGATCCTCTATAGTACTTTTAAAAAGT